TAGGTCACTTATTTGTGCCATGTGTATCACAGTTTTCCCATACGAAGTGGGCACCACTGGGATGATTTTCTTTTTGGGTTTAAAATTTTTAAACAATTCTAAGAATCACTTCTTTAATGATTTTTGAAGCCTTTAAATATTGTTTCGCTTTAGTATAATCAAGAATATTAAAAATTTAAGTAAAATTTGAGCTCTAGTACGTTAGGTAGGTTTTTGTTTTGTGTTATTTCATGTTGCTTTATCTCTTAACATTTAGTGTGTTTAGCCTATTACATGAGCCTAATGTAGAACCCATGTTATGATGTTCATTTGCTTCAAACAACATAAGAAATTCTTAGAAGTTATGAAAGCAATCGATAAAACACATGACTAATGAACTTTTAACTTATCTTAAATCTTGTAATTAACCAATCCTAATGATAGTCACTCACTAAAATTCACTAAGCAACAAACCCAATAATAACAACAATGATTATCTAGTAACCCGGGCTTACAAAGCTATTAACTTAGCCCCAATAATGATGAAATAAACCTCATGGTTCTTATTTCACTAGGTAATTATCATTTAGCATAAATAAACGAAAATAAATCATCAACAAACTAAACCTTCTAACCCATATCATATTAAATTTAAAAAATATAAGAAATGCATATCAAACTTAAAACTTTAATAATTTAAAATGATTAATAAGATCTCACAAGTCTATAAACTTCTAAATAGATTCACATAAATTTATAAAATCCCTAAAATTCTCAAATCAACCTACAACCCTAAAAAATCCTAATCAATCAAATGAAACCATAAAATATATAAAATACATCTTCACAAACTCTTAACTCAATTATGAATAATAATCTACATTAATTAAGGTGTAAGTAAATTAAAACTAAAAAAATCCTCTCACAAACTCTCTAACACCTAATAAAATACTAAGATACTAAAACTTAAAACTTAAACTAAAAATTCCTTGAGCAAACAAATAAACTTGTTGGAAGAGCAAATGAACATCAAATTCCCAAGGACATTAAAAACACACGACATTTTACATACACTAGAACTTATTTGTTATGATCACTGACTCTAGTCTTAGGTTAGGCTGTTAGTATGTTTTGGTATGATGCGGGTACCTTTTCTTGGAGAGTACCTTTGGTGTGTTATTTATTTTCAGTACTCTAGATGTCATGACATGCATAATTATTTTTTTTTATCGGCGCACTTTAGATTATATGGGCAGATAATAAAAAATAAAGTAAAACGATATTCTAGGATTAGATGGGGGCATTTAAAGAATATTAACATAAATATTTTTAAGAGTAAGATTTTAGATCTTAAGATTTTATCTGGGCATGAGGATGCTAATGTTATGTGGAAAAAGTGGCTAGTGATTTTAAGAATATTGCAAAAGATGTGCTTGGAGTATCAAAGGGAATAAGCTCCTAATAGTAAAAATAGTTGGTGGTGGAATTCAAATGTATATGAAAAGATTAAGAATAAGAAAATTTGTTATAAAAATTGATTTAATTTTAAAAATTCTGTTAATTAGGAACGATATAAAGAGGCTCGTAAGGAATCTAAAAAAGCAATATGCGATGCAAAGACCTTAGCTTTTAGTGATTTATATAATAAATTAGATACTAAGGAGGGAGAAAGATATATGTATAAGTTAGCCAAGCAAAGAGATTGGAGTAGTAAGGATTTAGTTCAAGTGAAGTGTATTAAGGATGAAGATCAAAAAATACTTTTCTTAGAAGATGATATTCAACAAAGGTTGATGAGATATTTTGTTAAACTTTTTAATGAAAATTGTGAAAGTAAGATGGACTATAGTGACTTTAGCACCCTAAATGAAAATAAAATTTTTGTTTTTATCAATTTGGATTCATGCCGGGTAGGTCGACTATGGAAGCCATACATTTATTCAGGGGTTTGATGGAAAAATATAGAGGAAATAAGGAGGATCTACATATGATATTTATTGATTTAGAAAAAGCATATGATAAAGTTCCAAGAGAAGTGCTATGGAGAGTTCTTGATAAGAAAGGAGTCAATAATGCTTATATTCAAATCATTAAAGATATGTATGCAGGAGCTATTACTTGTGTTCAAACACAAGGTGGATTGACCAAGTATTTCCCTATTTCGGTTGGGTTACATCAAGGATCAGCCTTAAGCCCATATCTTTTTGCTTTAGTCATGGATGTTCTCACTAGACATTTGCAAGAGGATGTACCTTGGTGTATGCTTTTTGCTGATGATATTCTTCTTGTTGATAAGACTAGAGAGGGAGTTGAAGGTAAACTTGAATTATGGATGTCAACTTTAGAGACTAAAGGTTTTCGCTTGAGTAGATCTAAAATGGAATATATGGAGTGTAATTTTAGTAGTAATAGACCTAGTGAGGGGATTGTGACTTTGGGCAATCAACTCATTTATAAGAGTACACGTTTTAGATATCTTGGATCTATTGTTCAGAGTGATGATGAAATAGATGGGGATATTATCAACAGAATTCAAGTTGGATGGTTGAAGTGGAGGAATGCATCGGGTTTGTTGTGTGATAGAAAAGTACCCCTCAAACTTAAGGAAAAATTCTTTAAGATGGTAGTGAGGCCTGCAATGCTTTATGGTGTTGAATGTTGGCCATTAAAAGAGAAGCATAATACTAAGTTAAGTGTGACAGAGATGAGGATGCTCAGGTGGATGAGTGGCTTTACCTTTAGAGATAGGATACGAAATGAGCATATACGTGAAAAGGTTGGAGTAGCTCCAGTAGAAGATAAGATTAGAGAGAGTCGCCTTAGATGGTTTGGTCACATAAAATGGCGGCCTTACAATGACCCGGTTAGGAGAGTAGAGGTATTAGATTTGACTTATGTTAAGAAAGGTAGAGGTAGACCTAAAAAGACTTGGTTAGAAAATATTTGGAATGACCTTTCTTTATTAGATTTAAACGAGAATTTGACCTTTAATAGAACACAATGGAGAAAAGGATTCATGTAGCCGACCCCACGTAGTGGGATAAATGCTTGATATTGTTGTTGTTGTTGTTGGCGCACTTTAGTTTATTAAATTATATGCATATACGTTACATTCATGCATGCATATTTATTTTTCATTCTTTTTGTTGCAAAATAGAAGTGTAAAGTATAATGTATTTAGGATGCTTGTAAAAGAAGACTCAAAGTAGAATGTACTTAGGTGCATATGCACATACAAAGACCCAAATATAAATGTAAGGCATTAAGAGTTGTGTAGATTTAAAGGTATTTACTTATATATATATATGATTTCAAAAGATAATTCCATCTCTTATGGAGGGTATTCCATTTTGAAATTTTATAAGGAAATCTGTAGCCAAAAGATGATAAGCAAATGTATTTAGATCTACATGTTTCATATGTATAAAATCAAACATGTTGTTGTGGAGGTTGGCCATTTTATTTTTCATCAGACCTTGGATTGTATTTATATTTTAAATAATGAATAAAAGATTTTATTTATGCATTTGTTTCATGTGTCATCATACACGACGTTTGGTGAATTCATTTATATATTTTATGTATCCCTGATTTAAATCTTCGAACCAAAATCCTTGATTCCGTAGGATATAGTCTTCTTATCTTGTATATATATGACAATTGATTGTGTTTAGAATGTTAGCTGACAGCTCACTCCAAGCAAGCATAAGCCCAGATTGTTCATCCCTCAGTGTTTCTTCTTTAGATCATAAATGAATGCTAGATCTATAATTTATGCTTAGGTGTTAAATTAATATTTGATCTTTTAAACTTAAAATTTTAATCACATCTTCACATGTTTTAAAAATGTCTAATCATCACTAAAGAAAAAGAGAAGAGCTTATCCTCTTTGGAATAGAACTTAGGAACCCCTATTACACATCAAACGAAGAAGAGAATAATATAGTATCCTTAATTGATAGTTTTTCTAGGTTGAGGTCTAAGATATAATTAACCACGGGGGCTTGCACCTGTGGAAAATCAACTAAACCTCATTCGAGCTGATGCATCTACCTTCTTGACCACCATCAATACCCTAATTTTTGTAATTTCAAAAAAATATGGATATTGATCCAAAAAACAGCAAGAAACCCTTCCTCCGGCCGAATGACTGTAGTTGAAATTTCAAAAAACAGCCAACAAACGATCCCAAAAACTGCTCTGATACCATTTTGATAGGAAATACTTGAATATTTTAAATAAACCCTAACAAGATTGACGAAAACAGTAAGAAAACTCCACAAATCTATTGAAAAACAAGCTAAAACAATAGTTTTTATTCTAGAAACCAAACCAATGGAATAAATAAAGCAAGATACAATTGATCCTCAATTCGAGAGAAGGATTGTTCTCTCCCAATTCCTAGACAAATCTAGGGTCAAAAACACCAAGAACAAGAACTCCTAAATCAGTCACAAAACAAAGCAAACCCCTAACCCTAACCCCTATTTCTTACTTTAGCAAACAATTAAGTCAAATTATATATTAGCCCTTGCCACCCCCTCCTTTGGCTCCAACTTGTTTGAATTTGAATCCTTAGTGGACCCCATCCCCTTCTCCCTCTCTCTTGTCGCCTGCCTTATGTAAACATGGTCCGGCCCTTGGCAAGGGGCCAGCTAGACCAGTCCAACAAGTATCGGTCTAACAGAAAGCTCCATATCCATCCATGACTGTTGTTTTGATTTGAAAGAACAATCCTTTTTCCAAATTTCAAGATCAATTTGATTTTAATTGAATCCCTGTTGTTGTGAATTTACGAATTGATTGCAGTATGGATGTCCAAGTAGTAGATGACAAAATAGATTTAGGCTTGGCAGGGCGTGGATCAATAAGCAAGTGCTGAGAAGGTACAGTGGATTTCATTTCAGAATTAGCTGGAAAAAGTTAACTACGAGACCATGAACGAGATTAAACTCTTAGCACTTCTTAAATCTTGCTTTCATGCATCCGAGCCAACTCCATGACTTCTAATATTGTTATAGGTTTTGCCAACAGAAGTTCTCGTCAGATCTCTGCTTTGAGGCCAGACACAAAGAAGCTGACCAAAGAGGTTTATGCCAATTCCTCAAAAGCTGTCTGGAGAGTTCATGCAGATTATTGTGAAGATCTTCAAACGGAGAGACGCTGTAATGAGCTTGCACAGGTTGTAGAAAACCTTGGAAAGGAAGTGTTGCCCTTTGAGTTTCGACCATTGGCACCAAGTCTTTACTGGTCCTTCCAAAGACTGCAATTCTTAAACACACAGGTTTTGACTTCCATTAAATCAGGTAACTTGATTTTCATGGTTCACATCAGTGGACCTCCTACTGGTTGGCGCCCAAGAATTGCTGATCTACTAGCTGCAGGTTCGTCGAAGATGTCATGTTTGAGTGAAAGAAGTGAACTGATTTTCCATTTTTTTTCTCTGAATGTTGCATCACTTCCAACTGCACTGTGTCCTTTTGCATCATCTTGAAGGTCACCAGGAAAAATTATTCTGTGCGGACACAGGACGCCGTTCAAATATGAATCAGGACGTGCAACGTCACTCTTTTGTTGTGTATCGATATCGTGTACCACTACGTATCGGGTGACGTGACGCATTTTGATTTACCTCCGAATAGTCCAGCATCTGCACAGAATAATCTCTCCTAGATCATAATTTTTCATACTTTTCCTCGGAGGAAAGATGAAAGCTTGACGAAATTTAACAAACATAACGGTACGTTTGATGTGTTATAGAGGTTTATGTGCCAGATAATTAAATAGCAAGCAATATGTTTAAATGCATAAATATAATATTCTTGGGGGTATCTATACAAATTACCTAATTTTAAAATAAATAAAATTAGCGATGTGAAAAAATTAAATTAGATATCTTAATGTATTAATCCTATAGACCCTTTAAAATTGTGACTAATGAGAAATTGTGTTTTGAATATTCTGATATATTTTGTATCACAGCTTATTCATTTTTATAACATTTGTATTTAATTTTGGGCATTACATGTCCTTCAAAATAACTAAATTATTAAACTATATAATTAAATGATTAGAAAATATAACTAAATTATTTTACATTCATAAATATAATTATAGCAGAAAAAAATATTTTCAAAATTTAATAATTTAACAATATTGGCTAGTAATTTAGTTGTATTTATCTGCTATGCTGATTTAATTATAAAATCTAATTGTTCAATTATATTTACTAATGGGTTGATACTAGAGGTGTAAGTAAGCTGAGCCGGTTCGAGCTCGACTTTTGTTAACGAGTTCCCGAGTCGAACTTATCAAATCACGAGTTCAATCCCGAACGTATACCCGAGCTCAAGCTCAAGCTCAGTTTGACTCGGTTTGAAAGCTGGTTGAGCCATTAAATTAAATCAAAATATATTAATAAATAATAATTAATTTAAATTACCATTACATATATAATATTTTTAAATTAATGTATATTAAAAAATAAAAAAAAAATCTTAAAAAATAATTTTTTTTTTAATTTAAAATTAAAAAACCGAGTCCAACAATCAAGCTTAATTTAATAATTCAATAAGAGTTAATAAACTTGCATGGGCTGGAGTAACAAAGGCCCGGTGCAAACAGCCATAAGAAGCTTTAAAAAGCCTCTCAGAAAACCAAAATAGCAAAAACGACCGTAACGACTAAAACATTAATAAGACAAACAATCATGGAGCGGCAACTGAGCCGTGACTATCCCTGTTAACTACAACATATAACAGTCTATAGACTAAATTAGATGGCTGGTCCTAATCGAAGGAACTTTTATTTGGTCCGGTTACAGGATGTAGCTCTACGTTCGGCCGTCAGTAGAATCGCATCACGCGTTCTCATTATTTACCGTGTGCCCTGACATCCCGATCCGGAACGGACCCAGGATGGCTCGGTATTTCTCGATTTTGCTAAGTATTGCTCGATATTGCTAGGTATTAGTCTATTCTGCTCGGCAATAATCAATATCGAGCAAATATCGAGCAATACCGAGCAAATACCGGGTAATACCGAGTTGTACCGAGTTTTTTAGAAAAACTCAGTACAACTCGGTATTGCTCGGTATTTGTTTTCATTGAGCGATATTTTTCGTTATTGCCAAGCAATACCTAGCACTACTAAGCAATATCGAGCAAATACCTCGCAATATGCGAACATATCATTCCCGGGTTCCAGTCCGGGTAAAGTTGTCAGGCGGCACGGTAAAGAGTAAGCGGATGTGACACATATTATTAGAGGGCCGAATCAGAGGAGATAATAATTGTTCTAATCGAAGGGTCCTGGATACGGCACGTGACCTTCCGTCGATCCCCACAAAAATACCAGCGAGGTGGTGGGCAACCGGCAGTAACCCGTGTTCCGTGGCTCTGGCCTTATAACGAACCGACATATGGTCTATCTACCCGTTGTTCCGGTTGCTCCACCGGCCGGCTAGTCAGACTTCTCTCTTTCTCTCTCTAGTAGCTTTCTTTGCCCTATTGTTGCTCTTCCTCTTGTTCCTGCTTGTTTCGCTCTTCTTTGTTCGGCCTCGCGTGCTCGTAGAGTGGTTCCCATCTTTTGCCCGCTTCCGAGGTCTGGGCATCTCTCTCTGCTCTATTTTTTTTTTTTTAATAAGTTTCGTGATCTTTTTTCCGTTTTTTTTTTCTTTTTTTTTAAGAAGTTTTTGCTCCTACTTTCCATCAGATCTGGATAGTTAATGATTTCGATTGATTTGAAGTAATATACCTAGTGTTTGATGCCTCAGATCTGATTTTTTTTTAATGGCGCTATTTCTCCTTTCGTGTATTTTCTAATTTCTATATTGTTTTCTTTTAGGCTTGCTTCTCCCCACTTCATATTGGGGCTTTTTTTTTACTTTTTATAATTGTGACTTGTTTTTTTTAAGTTCGTAGAGTTTTTGCTGTCTTTGGGGTTTATATTTTTTAGGGGTTATGATTGCGTATACCTTGGTTTCTAATCTTTGCTTGGGCAGAAGTTCCTATAATAACAGAGAAAGGCCCTAGCTTTGATTACGATTTGTACTGTACTATCATCGTCCTTGCGGAATTAGCCGAAGTCATATACAAATATGCTATTTGATAGAAAGTTTTGATTTTGTACCTTTTCGAAAAAGCAGTTTGATGGATTTCACCTAATGATGTTGGAAAAGCTTGTTCTGCTGAACATTTGTATTTCACTTGTAGGTTTCTTGCTCTGGAGAACATTTGTGTTAGGATTTATTTTTTTAGTATATATTGAACATCTGCTCTCAAAGCTGTATAAAGAAGCAAAGACCATCTAGTTTGTGAAAGATAGCTAAGAAATTTAGAGGCGCACGCATTGCTTTATTGTCATTTCTCCTTGAGCTATGTTTCTGACTGGACCAATCTTTCAGTTTCATAAGATTTCAAGTTGTCTGAACTGATTTTCCTCAAAATTTTAACATTTTTGCGTCATGATTTTTCTTTGATATCGGTCTGCTTTCCTGTTGAGAACCCCATTTTCCAAGAGCTTTTGTATAGAATCTAGACCTGCATGCCCGCTTTTTGGGACATGTTTTATGCACCTTTTGTTGGACATTTTTGACGTGTTTTATGTAACTTAATATTCATTTTTTTATGGTTTCTCTGCTTGTAATGCCTCTAGTTTTCATGATGTTAGATATACAAATTTATACTCTTATGGCAGGAAACTCTCTAACCTAAGATGAAAGGAGGGAAGGGGAAGGCGACAACAACCAAGAAGGAAACTCCAGAAGTACTAAAGCCATCTGATGACAGGTTATCCCCTGATATACTTTTTTCTAGCATTAACAGTTTTCAACATATACATCGGTTATTTTGAATTCTTCATTATTGAAAATATTTTTTTAGTATGGGATGATCCATATCCCTCAATCCATGTATCATTAGAAGTAGCTGGTATGGTGCATGTTCACGTTTGGTACTCTTTGCACTCTTTGCAACCGTGTTGCGACTCACACATCCTATTGTTTTGAACATTGACCATGATTGAAATTAAGGTATTGTGAACCTAATCATAAATTTTGCACTAACAGTTTTTTCATGGAGGATAGGAATTGAAGGTCCTATGAAACAATGATACAATTTTGTTATCAGGAACTTCTTTTATGGTTGTACATCACCATTTGGAATTAATGTGTTCTTAGAACCACGAGTAATCCCGTGGAATGAAAATGAATGATTTTTAAAACATGTTGACTTAAGTTAAGAAAGGTTGAGGTAGACCTAAAAAGATTTGGTTAGAAAATATTAAAAATGATCTTTCTTTATTAGTTTTAAATGAGAATTTGACTTTTAACAGGACACAATGGCAAAAAAGGATTCATGTAGCCGACCTGACATAGTGGGACAAAGGCTTGATCTTGTTGTTGTTGTTATTGTTGTGAAAGTTAAACCTAGCGCTGCTAATTGATGTAATGTATATGATAGTAACTTACAGCTGCTATTTCTTCTGTATTATTCTTGTTATCTTTCATTGTCCTTGTTTGATGCCCTGCTACTCATGTAAAAGATGATTTATCTTGAGAGTGGTATTTATGATGATTAGTGTGCTTATTATTTCCCAAAATCAACTAAGTTGTTCATGTACTTTGATTGCATATGCTGTTTTTAATTCACAAGGCTTGGAAAACGCAAAGCTGCTGTGAAGGCTGACAAGAGTAGTAAGAGCAAGGCTAACAACAATAAGAAGGCAAAAAAGGACCCTAACAAACCAAAGAGGCCGGCCAGCGCTTTCTTTGTTTTTTTGTAAGTAACTTTTTGGTATTTTTTATACTTGTTTATGTGACTAAATCTCAGTCATTGTTGGCTTAATGATTTAATAATCTAACTTTTTGTTTGCATGAGAACATTGCAGGGAAGAGTTCAGGGAGATTTATAAGCGAGAACATCCTAATGTCAAAGCTGTATCAGTTGTAAGAAATTATCCATGCTAAAATAATCCATGAAAAATGAGTTTCAACTTCATTTAGTTTTTTTTTTGTCATTTTATCTGACTTTTGTTATTAATCTTAAGGTTGGTAAAGCTGGTGGAGAGAAATGGAAATCATTGACTCGAGCGGTATGTATATCTATCTTCTTGTATAATTATGAATATTGAATTGCTAGATAGTAATTGCTATAAATATAATGCACTAATGATATATGTTTGATTTATTTTTTTTCTTTTGGATCCCAAGTTTTTGCTTATGTTTTAAACCCTCTTAATAGTTTAATTCAAGTTGGATGTGTTGTGTAGTACGAGCTATTGGTATCCATAGTGCCATGTGATTGTAGTCGCATCTCTATTGTTTTTTTTTTGTCTTCAAGAACTCTAGCTGCTTATAGTTTGAGATCCACCTCTTTTCCTATCGAAATACTTATATGGGGTTGCTATTTTCGATAAAATTAATGTGGGATGTTTGTTCAACTCTCTGTTATCATAACTGCACATCTTGTGGATTGTTATGTACTCAATGATTTTGGTATAAGCATATCTGTTATGGTACTACAATTGTTCTAGGGCAATTTCTGCCTAAGAATATTATGATGATTTACACTTTTAGTATTACATTTTCTTTCCCAGATTGTTAGTTTTTGTTCTTTGTTGATGGAATGAAAGTTTGAAATTTAAGATTATTTGGGATTGAACTACTGTGGAGCATAATTAATATCCTATGAAGAAATGTCATTATCATAGTGACATATATAGAGATAACAATATGATGCAGCCATTAATTGAGTTAACCTAATTAGAATTATTGATGTGTTTTGCGGTTAACTTTTTCCTGTTTTTCTATCTCGGTCGGTTATTTGAATTAGATTTAGGCTTTGTTTGGGACATTTTTTTTTCTGCTTTCTAAAATAACTTATTAGTACAAACATTTCGTGAATTAGAAATTTTTGTACTAGAAAGCCGTTCTGGAAAGCAGCAAAAAAGCTGTCCCAATCTAAGCTTTAGCCTAATTCCAATCATAATTATTGTATTTACTAGTTTGTATCAAGAAAGTAAGTTTTTTATTTATTCAACGGTATTTGATCTACAATTTCTAATTTTATTTGTTTAATCTACATTCAGTATATTATTCTTGTTTTATTACAAAACTAAAACCCTAAACCATCCTGGATCGCATAGGTTTGGGTTTCATAACAGTGTGTGTCCTTATGCTGTTGACATCATGCTTTCTCTCTATTATTTGCTTTTTACCCTTTCCTGGCATTGTTTGAACGTAGAAAAATCACCATTTACTTCTATTCCATAAAAAAATCTCACTTAAAGCAACTTCTTGTGTTTTGCTCAGGAAAAAGCTCCTTATGAAGCCAAAGCTGCAAAAAGGAAGATTGAATATGAAAAACAAATTTCAGCATATAACAAGAAGCAGGTAATTGATTATATAAGTTTCCATTTTTTTAATTTCAAAGTATTTCTTCCCCTCATTATTTGACGTTACATCTTTTTATTTTTAACATTGTAGGAAAGCAATGCTGATGAAGGTGATGAAGACTCTGATAGGTCCAAGTCTGAAGTTAATGACGAAGATGATGAGGAAAGTGGCGAGGTAGACATTTGTTGCGATGCTATTATTTTGATGGACAGGGACCATCTATCATAATGGACTAGAATGTTGCATTCTTTGGCCCTTTTCCGTTCCTATAAAGATGTTTTTTATTTTCTATTTATTATCTTTCCTTTTAAGAAATAAAAATTTAAGCTCCGTCATGTTGATCACTTCCTTCATACGACAACTTCATTTTTTTTCCTTTTTTATCATTTTTATCTTGAATGTTTGGTACAACATACTATGTGTTTATTTTGGTATCTTTTTATTTTGTAAGTTTTCCAATTCTAAGTTTGATACATGGGCTACACTCTATTTTAAATTTAAATTTTGCTTTGATCTTTTTTTTTGTCCCTTAATTTATCGTGAATTGGCTTCCTTTAAAACTGGTATGCTTTTCTATTCTTCACCAAAAAGAAATTTATTGTCCATTAGTTTTATTTTCATGTTATTGTCACCCAAAAAAAATTTAGTAGTAATAAATCTAGTGGGGGATTGAGACTTTGGGCAATCAAGTCATTAATAAGAGTACATGTTTTAGATATTTGGGGTCTATTATTCAGAGTGATGATGAAATAGATGGGTATATTATTAGTAGAATTCAAGTTGGAAGAAGTGGAGGAATGCATCGGGCTTGTTGTGTGATAGAAAGTATCCCTCAAACTACTTAAGGGAAAGTTCTATAAGGTGGTGGTGAGACCCCGCAATGCTTTATGGCGCAAAATGTTGGCCATTAAAAGAGAAGTATAGTATTACGTTAAGTGTTGCAGAGATGAGGATGCTCAGGTGGATGAGTGGCTTAGACAGGATATTAAATGAGCATATACGTAAAAAGGTTAGAGTAGCTCTAGTGGTAGATAAGATTAGAGTGAGTCTCCTTAGATGGTTTGGTCGCATAAAATGGAGGCCTTCTGATGACCGGTTAGGAGAGTAGTTGTATTAGATTTTGCTTACTTTAAGAAAGGTAGAGACAGACCTAAAAAGACTTGGTTATAAAATATTAGAAATGACCTTTCTTTTTTTAGATTTAATTGAGAATTTGACTCTTAACATGACACAATGGAAAAAAAAAAAATTCATGTAGTCGACCTCACATAGTGGGATAAAGGCTTTATGTTGTTGTTGTTTAATTCTAAAATGATTCTTATTATAACAAATATTTCAAATTTAATTTATAGAAAACTTTCGTGCTTCATTTATCTTTTTATTCAAATCCCTTACGAGAATTAGTTCTGGAAATATGGAATGGCAAGTTGATATTTGATTGTACACTTCCACAAACCTTAATCGGTGTCCAAGTTGATATTTATAAGGGAAGTAATTTATAGGTTCTGGCATTGAACAATTGTCACATTTTCACATCTATGAAGTTTGAGATCATTTCTCACAAGGGCTCTATATTTGGCATGCTTGAATTTTGTAGTCATTGGATGAAAAATAATTGAACTACACTTCTTTGTAATAATTTTGTAGTCATTAAATGTGATGTAGCCTTTCTGTTTGGTGGATTAGATAATTTACGTGCTCATTCATGTTAGAAAGTGACATTTATGTTGGTTTGAATTTGTAAAGAATTTTGTTGGACTTTAACATATTTGCTCCAGTGGCAGATAAGATTAGAGAGAGTCGCCTTAGATTGTTTGGTCACATAAAGCGGCCGCCTTCCAATGACTCGATTAGGAGAGAAGATCAATTAGATTTGGCTTATGTTAAGAAAGGTAGTGGTAGACCTAATAAAACTTGGTTAGAAAATATTGGAAATGACTTTTCTTTATTAGATTTTTAAATGAGAATTTGACTCTTAACTGGGCACAATGGAGGAAAAAATGATTCATGTAGCCGACCCCACATAGTGGGATAAAGGCTTGTTGTTGTTGTTGTTTAATAGATTAATATGACATTAAATGCACTTTATACTTTGATTTTGCTGATTAACAATTTTTTGAACGGTTGAATTATCCTAATTAGTGATTCTTTTTTATTTACTTCATAGTATTAGAGATGTAGTGCTTGATATGATTAGAACTTCTTACCCTAATTCCTTAGCAAAGATTATTGGACACAATTTTGTAAACATTTACCATTTGAATATACCATTGAGAAGGTAATATTATTTTTTAAGCTGATGAATTTCCTTGAATACTATGATGATCTTTGTTTTATATTATGAATGTAATATTAGCTATTAAGACTGAAAAAAAAAACTATGAAGGTCTTTGAATAGTAAGTCCAACTTCAGAGAATTAAGCATCTCTGTTTATATTTCACGAAGCGGACAATCTGGCAGTTTGTTTAGCTTGAGTTTTGTTGAGCATATTTTAGTGAAGAAGTCACCTTAAAAAATATGACAAAAAAAACAGGCATTTTGTGAACGTGAGTTTGTTTGTTGAGCAATTTTTTGTGCTTTTGGTTTTTTTGAATTGATTGTTCTTTAGATTAAACTTTTGGGATATTTATGCGTGCTATCAAATTTTTCCTTATTCATAAAACTTATGCCCAATTTTTTCAAATGAATTAGCAAGCCCATATATTGCATATGTTATTACCAAATCATTAGAATTTAGAACTCATTAAGAATAAAAGTTGATTGTGTTGTTGTCTTCTTCAAGAGTATGATGTGGGGTTGTTATGAGTATCAACTTTATTTCAACATGAAACTAATCATTGTTTCTTTAAGGTAGGATTTTATTAGGATGGAGTGGTCTTAATGCTTATGGAGAAATATCTGAAAAATTAGGGTTTCGATGATAGGGAATTTTATTTTGAACCCTCCTATGTTGGCATATAAAATATGAAATATCTGTTAGAACTTAGAACCATGAACATCCATAAAATTTTGTAAGGCTGTGACTTGGTATCCAATATATGACACTTGATAGTTGACAAGGATGAAAATATCAACATATGTGCCATTGCTAACCTCAATACAATCATTGAAATATGATATATAATGTTCATCATTATCTTTGATGGATCTCACGAATGTTAGTTCTTTGGGAATCATGTACTCCAAGAGATAATTCAAGAATGTGATGTAAATAAGTAAAAAAAAATGTGATATTTTAAATATATTATGAAATCTCTCATGATGCCTTATCAACAATTCTTTAAGCCAAATATAATATGAGCTGATCTCCTCTTCGACCACTTACTCTTCCTATAATTAGGTAAATATCTCTCTTGTTCTACTTCTGATTGAAATCTATTGCAAAGTCATAGACCTCAGTATTTTAAATAATTTGTAGTATTTGATCAAGCTTTTCCATTGCATGTAGTATTGTTAGATTGCTGTAGTTGAAAAGCTGTTGTCCATGAATTGTTGTAGATGGAAAGTTATTATCAACAGATTGTTAGATTTCTATAGAAGGAATGGTGTTGGTCATAGATTTAGAAATTATTTCAACACTCCCTCAAGGTTGGTTGCCTATAGTGATTATGCTGGGTTTAGTGATTAGATTATCAAATCTCAGTTTATTCAGGGCTAATATATTTTCAATGTTTTTGAGATGAAATGTTAGTATATCTTAATATGTTTAGTCTTAAATGTGGTAGCTGTTTTTTCTCAATACTTGTAACGGCCTTCCGTTGACTTTAAACTTGTAACGGCCTAGATAAGATTAGAGAGAGTCACATTAGATGGTTTGGTCATATTAAACGAAGGCCTTCCGATGACCCGGTTAGGAAAGTTGAGGTATTAGATTTGACCTTATGTTAAGAAAGGTAGAGGTAGATCTAAAAAGATTTGGTTAGAAAATATTAGAAATGATCTTTCTTTATTAGATTTAAATGAGAAGTTAGACTTTTAACCAGACACAATGGCGAAAAAGGATTCATGTAGCTGATCCCACGTAGTGGGGACAAAGGCTTGATGTTGTTGTTGTTGTAGTACTTGTAACGGCCTGCTTTTCTCAATATAATGTTAAAGATTTTTTTATTTGATAATTCATTTCTTCTAACGGTCTTTCTAATCATATTGTTGCTTTTTGATATCAAAGATTTTTTTTGTCTTTATATGACAAAAGATTTATCATGATGATAATCTTATTCTATATGGGGATGAGATGAAATATAAATTAATATTTGTCACTATAATATTGTAGGCAGGCAATCAATCGAACAACTTCTAAGAGGAGATACTTTTAAAGATTTGTAGAGAGATCCAAAGGATGCTTGCTTGTAAAACCATGGAGTACTGCATCTAGATTCATTTGGCAGTCCTAGGAAAAATCATATGGAAAAAATAAGCTTTTATGATATAACAAACAAGGCTTACTCCAGAGTTGTAAATATTGAATTGTATCATGGCTTTCTTCCTACCAATTCTATCATTACATTCTTTTATGATTCCGTGACAAAAGCTTCTTTTGGCACATAATTTATTAAATTCGCACCAATAGCAATATCATATAATGTCAATGTTCCCTTTTTAGTAAATTATAATCTCTGAAAAAGTAGATTATCATATCACTCTTTATCATTCACTCCCCTCCCTCTCATTACTTGGCTACATTCATCCTTAAATTGACAATGATTTTTCATTTTAGTTGCAGTTTTTGATTATACTGATATTGATGATGGATATTTGTAGGACGAAGAAGAAGAAGATGATGATGAGGAGTAAAGCTTGTGGCTTTGATATCTGTCGCTTTGATCCATAATATAGAACCTGCGTTTTGTATTCTGGTATGTTAGGGGGCAAAGCTTACTTCTGTGATGTTTATGTTATAGCTTTAATGGCTGTGGTACTTTTATCCTGTGTTTCTATATAATTGTTCATCATCTGCTCCCTCCCCTGCTCAAGTGGCTAGGCATTTCTAAAATTTGTTCAACTTAAGATTCTTATTAAGTTAGTTCCCTTTTCTCACCATTCTGCTCCACACATTTAAACTTCGTTTGGGACGGTTTTCTTACTACGTCTTAAAGCGGCTTTCTAATGCAAAAAAAATTAATTTTTAACTAAAAACAGTTTTAAGAAGCAGGAAGAAATCTGTCCCAAACGAAGCTTTAATTGATACTCATCACTTGTTAGAAGTGTCTGCTATGTTATGGTTAGTTTGCTTTATGTCTCATGTTTGTATTTAGCCTTATAAGTAATCAATGTTTAGGGAAGCAATTTAGGCTTCGTTTGGGACTACTTTCTTCCTGTTTCTTAAAACAGTTTTTAGTATAAAAATGAAATCTTTTGTGCTATAAAACTGCTTTAAGAAGCAATAAAAAAAACATCCCAAACGATGCCTTAGAGCATGCAACAAGATATTATCATGAAGAATCATAGGTAAAGAGAGTAGGAAAGATATGGTGGTAAATTTTGTATAATCTCAGCTTGGTTGGCTATTTGGATCTGTAAGTTTTGGGCAGCAAAAAATATAATTGATTGTCAATTAGTGTGTGCCATAAATGAGCATGTGAAGATGATTTTGTAGCAAACTTAGAAGAATAGTTGGAGTGATTGTATTGGAGTGGTGGTGAGAGTCAACAACTTATGATATGATAGGATACAATAAAAAGCATCCATTTGATGGTTTTCTAAAATAAAATTAGTGTCATCGGTTATGAAAGAGAATTGATAAATCACTTAAGTTTCATTTGAGATCATTTATTATTATTTTTTAAAGCAGTTTTTTTTAGCATAAAATTTTGTTAAATTAGAAATTTTTATATTAGAAAGCTGCTGTTTGTTGTATAGAAATTGTTGCTTTTTAAGGTTTCGTTGTTTTAGTATAAAAATTTTAGTAGTTGTATTAGAAAGTTGTTTTAAAATGTAGTAAGAAAGTTGTCCGAAGTAAAGCCTAAGCATTTTTTCCATTTTGAAGAGTATGTTGGAATTTTCTATGTAGTTTGTTCGATATGATGAGAATCAATCAAGCAAAAAAACAGAATTAATTCTTTTAAAAAATTTATAAAATATAAAACATCATAATAAATTAGTTGTAAAAGAAATATTTGGTTATTTTGATATCAATTATATGAAAATGGACTTAAAATTATTATATTTTATTTGAAATTAATGTTATTTATAAAGTTTTATAATCATACTTGATATTGCACTAATGTTAAAATAAAATAATCAAACATAATTTTAATCAGGCTAACACATCTATTCAAATAGTTTATGTAATTTTAGATCCAAACTCATTACATATATAAATAATAGAAAATGGAAATTCAATACCATTAAATTTATGATAAATTGAGTAATATTATTATGCTCAAAAGAATTAATTTAGTAAGAATAAAAAAAATTATTGAATGAGCAGTTAAAGTGAACTGAGCCGATTCAATTAAACCGCAAAGAGTTCGACGATTTGGCGGTTCGATAACCGGTTTTCTCGGCTCAAGTTTAGGATGGTTTTAGAGTCGACTGAAAGAATAAATTCTGTGCACCGATTTGACCGATCCGACCGGTTTTAAGTCGAGATAGCAACCTCACTTAGGTGTTTGGTAGGGCATCAAATTCTACTGATTGTTAGTTTCAGCTTCTGATCGAACTGCAGCAGAAAAATCGCTTTTGGTGAGATGATGCGTTTTGCCATTGCAGTAAACGGTCTAAGGTAAGAAGCATTATTTTTGTAAGAGTAGATAGTTATTTGAACTAAAATGAATCTAGTGTAAAATCTAATGTTATGATGGTAGGGACTGGCAGCCTAAGGTGGGAGAAATTATTTTGTGCGGACACTGGGTAGTCCGAAAATTAATCAGAATGTTTCACGTCATTAGATACACAATGGTACCGAGCAAAAAAGTAATTTGGCGCGTTCTGGTTGTTCATTGGACGCCGTCCGGTGTCTACACATAATAATTTTTCCTAAGATGGAGGGTAATAGAGGTGGTTAGCTGGGCAGTGGGTGGCAAGCGGCGGCGAATAGGTTGTTAGTGATAACAGTAGAATCAACTTGAATTGTATTTTAAAATTCGGTAGAAAATGACCAAGCTTAAAATGCACAAAAAATGAATTACAAAGTGAATTTAAAATATTATATAGAAAATAAGTTGATGTCATATTAAAATTATGGTTGAGTATAATTGAGCATATGTTATGATGTGATACTAATATTTTTCAAGATTAATTTGGCATGCTGGGTAAATATGTTATGAAAGTTATATATTTATTGAAAGATTTAATGGATAAGTGTAGAGAGATAATGAGAACCTACGCATGATATTTATTGATTTAGATAAAATGTATGATAAAGTTCCAAAAGAATTACTCTGGAGAGTTATAAAAAAGAAGTTCATAGTACTTATTTTTTAGTCATTCAGAATATATATACAAGAGCTATTACTTGAGTTTAAAAACAAGGTGACTTAATCAAATGTTTTTCTATTTTAGTTAGTTTTTTTTTTTAGTTGAATTTCATCAAGGATCAACTTTAAGCTCATATCTTTTTACTTTAGTCATGAATGTTCTTACTAGACATCTGCAAGAGAATGCACCATGGTATATGTTTTTACTGTGGATATTCGTCTTGTTGATAAAACGAACATTATGGAGCTTAACCTTAGAATCCAAATTTTTTTCTTAAAGTAGATCTAAAAATCGAATATATTCAGTATAATTTAAATAGTAATAGATGTACTAAAACCTTAATTTATAAAGAATAATATTTCTACACTTGTTTTTTGCCGGCTTCATTTATTTTTAATAAGTTATAATTTGACCATCACCACTGATAAAACCATGAGTTTCAAGGAGTTTAGTTGGAGAATCATCATCCTAATTTTCATGACACTATTTAATGGGAAGCACTGCTTTGTTAAGACCATTGCTAATATATATATTAGGCTTCGTTTGAGATAATTTTTTTTATTACTTTTTAAGATAATTTTTTAAATAAAAAACCTTTGAACTAGAAAGCTGTCTTAAATGAAACATTATTTTTTCATTACATATACAAATAATAAAATTATATGAAATAAAATACAAACTCTAACAATGACAAAATAAATGTATCAGAGCATTATTATGACTTTTTATTTTGAATAATTTTATTCCTGTTTTCTATTTTCTGACAATTTTTTAATAACATAAAGATTAATGATAAAAAATTATCCCACACAAAACTTTAATAAATAACTATTACAGTTTCAATAAATGAGATGCCAATCATTTACACTTAGACATTTTATTCTTTAGTGGGGACTTGTGCGACCACCTAATTTAGAATATATTTGATACCACATTCTATTTATTTTATTTTTCCAATAAAAAATAATAATTTTATTTAATTATTGCTTTCTTTTTTTTTTCATAAATTTATGTGATGAAAAGATAATTTTTATAATCAAAATAACTATGTTGCTTTCCCAATAAGTTCACAAATAATTTATATTTTAGGAAAACTTATTCACTGATTTGCTTCTGCAATCGTAATCATAATTCTATTTAACTCCTACTAATTACTTCTTCACTAATTTTTAAAAACTTTCATTATAATAAGATATTTTTTACATCTAGAATTGCTAATGTACTTAAAAAAATAGCTATTCAATTAAAAAAAACATTTATAATACCCATATTAGTTTTTAAAAAATTTATTTTTCCTGCAACTTTATAATTATCTTTACAAAATGCTACAACCATCCTAAATAAATCATTAATTTCAATTTTCAAAATTTCAAGCTACCAAATTGCAAAAGTTGAAAAATAAAAATTTATCTAAGAAAATATACTATTTATCGTTATCTAATTGAAAATATATATAATCTCATGAAAATATTTTACATCATGAGTTAAATTTAACAAAAAAAAAAATCTAAATCAAGTTTTTAGTTTTACAACATAAAATCACTTAAAAAATGGGAGGATTAAAAGCTTACCCTTCAAAAAGAAAATTTTAACTTTACACTCTAAAACAAAGCAATATCTTACCCACAAACCTCTTACAAACTCTAAATCACTTTCAGTATCATTACTATTAACTATCTTCAACTAACCAATGCCATGCATGTTACAATCATCAAATCAAAGAGATCTATGGCATTGCACATGGATGGGGTAGCCTTTCAGCATTCTTGTGGTGGGGAAGAAGACCAGCTTATCCTTTTCTGCTACTTCCCAGCTGTTTATCATGCATGAGTTCAAAGTATGTTCAAAACATAAAGAAAGAAAATAACCATCATCATCATTACTACATGCATAACTAATGGAAATGTGATGAGAATATTAGGAGCAACCAACATTGTGTACCTGAAGCAGGTGACAAGGTAATGGAGGAAGACCGAGATCTCGACGCGTCCCAGCTCGTAGCCGGGACATAGCCGCTGGCCGCCACCAAAGGGGGTGAATGTTGGGGCTCCCCCTACTTGCTGACTTCCATCCTTTCTCATGTTGTTTTGGTCCTGCAACAAAGATGCACTCAAAAACAAAAAACAACACCAACAACAAGCATTTATCCCGCTACGTGGGGTTGGCTACATGAATCCTTTTTCTCCATTGTGTCTGATTACGAGTCAAATTCTTATTTAGATCTAATAAAGAAAGGTCATTTCTAATATTTTCTAAGTCTGTTTAGGTCTACCTCAACTTTCTTAACATAGGTTAAATCTAAAATATCTATTTTCCTAACCATCTAAGGCAACTCTATTTAATCTTATATGCAATAAAGATGAACTCAAAATCATTAAAAATCACTCAATTTTCGACTAACCATTCATGCGGCTCAAATATGATTCATATCAACTCTAACTAAATCAATCTTGACTCGAGTTGAGTTATCAACACATTTCGATGGTTAAAAGAACAAGAATGGTTAAGCTACTTCTATAGGATTACCAGCCATCTCCAGGGATTGAAAGTGCGAGCGTCATCGAAATAGTTTTCGTCGAGGTGGACTGCTCGAAAAGAAGCAAACACCTTACATCCCTTTGGAATTATGTAACCTGCAAAGGCCATATGCGTTAAGCAAAGATCATATGATATGTAGTTCAATTATATTCATGATTTGTCTATGATACAGCTGTTAATTGTGTGTAACTTCGATAATTCAACATGTACTGTAAATTTATAACAAATGATTTATATCAAATGCTCAGAAAGAAAAGGAGGCTTTCATCATTATACAATTATAATGAAAATAGAAAGGATCGTTCATCCTCGAATAGTTGCAGAAGATAACAATATAGTACTGTAAAATAGTTTATCAGAGATGTTGGGATGCTGATGGCCACGACTTTAACTAGTAATTGATATAACTAAAAGGGTAACTACAGAGGGTAGAGGGTAGGTAAGGATTTTAGATGGGTCCAAGGAAGGGGAAGATGGTTGCCACAAATCCGAAAGTGGCGGCAATGGCGATGCTACTCGAAATGCAGAGACAACAATTGAACCGACCACAATGTTGTGCCAAACACTGGAAACAACAATATGAGAAAACATAGCTGCAATTGGGTGCTGGCCAAGTAGGCAACATTTTCATGCTGTTATGTCATCAATGAAAGCCTATTTGTAATTTTCATATGGAGTATATCCATCTTTTTCTTTGAAAAAATTCTCCAAATTTATAAGCAAAAAATGGTGAAAGAGATGCCTTTTCATGATCAAATACAAGCTAATCTAGTGATTGGTGACAACAAATATGGTGGCTATATCTTTGATTGATAATTTGAATATGCCAAAACTTAGGCAACAATGTCATGACTGCATTGGTGTTGACAAATATTAGTTTTGACTTTCCACCTCATGAAAATACGAGTAAGGGCATCTCCAACTGAAAATTCCATTTTTCACTTAAAAATGCAGTGAAACTAAAAAATGTCGTAATTCATCTCCAATCGAACTCTATTTTGTGCACTTCTACCAAGGTAATAGTCTTTCTCCTCTTTAGCGCATTTTTTCGGCAAATCCGGTTGAGAAAAATAAAATTGCGTAGGTGAACAGTACGACCCCAATATTGGCGTCCACTGCTCACGAGCAATCAAATAGCGGGAAAAATGCCGATCGGATGGAGCAACGGAAGATCGCCATACATTTGTTTGGCGTTCGGTTGGAGATGCCCTAACTTGCATCAAGGTGAGCCAAAGGGCCAACTTGCCCACCATCAACGCCCTTCTCTCTATCCCATGATGTTCTATCACGCAGGACAGAAATAGGAGCCTGCGAGACCAACCAATTCAGCTCAAATTTGATCGATTTGGGTGTTAACAAACTCAATGCAACAAGCTGGATGTTATAGTAGACTCATAATGTAATTTTGAGCTTGATTTGTCTCAAATTTGGCCACAATTAAGTACCGATTTGAATTTTATATATAATTAAACAGGTAGTTTTAGGTGGGAAATTGCACAGCCAACTCATATCAAAACTTGATTCAGTTCGCCTCCGAATGGCCTTTATGCAGTAGATGTAAATGCTAAACTGCTACGCTCTAATTGTTGATAAACTCCAAATACTAATAATGCGTTAATATCATACCTTTGTAATGAACATCGGCAACGCTTCGCCGGAAAACGCCGCTAATAATGTTGGCGACGCGCAGTGTCTCATTGACGACGCACTGTGTAAATGACATCGCCTTGTAATCGCTCCATTCCAAAGCCTCAAGCTCGTCCTTCTTCCTCCCCCGAATCTCTTTTTGCTCTTCCTGCAATTCACTCAAATTAATTATTCATACGGATATTCATCAAAAGCTCTCTCCTTTTCCATAAAACAAAGCCAGAAATCGAAAAGACAAAGTCTGCACCTTGACGAGGGCTAGAGCAGAAGGGTTATCAGTGAGAAACTTGACAGCTAGAGTCATCATAATCGGCGTCGTCTCATGTCCAGCCACCAGCAATGCAAGTAAAAAATCCACCATCTCCTCCTCCGAGAAACCCTCATCAGCCTCAAGCAGCTCATCCACCATATCCTTCTTCCGGCTCTCTGCTTCATCCTCTGTCTCCCTCATCTTTTCATCTTTCCTCCTCTTCACCAGCTCCATCAGCGCCTCAGCCACCTTCTTCCGCGCCTAATCAAAAACCCAAAACCCCATCAGAAAAGAGTAAGTGAAAAGAAAAAAAAAAGATAATTTGGGTAAAGATGAAACCTTTATAGCTCTTCCGTAGGTAGTGAAAGGGAGGAACGCGAACAGGGGAACAGAGAAGAATCCATCGATAAGAGCATTATAATGTCGGCGGAGATTCTCCGTCCACTCCCCCGGCCCCTCGCTCATGGTCTGCTCTACCATCATCTCGAAGGCCACCTTCTTTGCCTGATCAAGCAACCGAACACTACCGCCCCATGACCTGAGGTTAAGGCGAATCAGTTGATCGATGCCGGGGAGAAGCGAGGAGCGAATGGCTTGAGGAGAGGCGAAGCGAGTGAGAGTGAGAGAATGCATGCGCTTGTGAAGGGCGCCTTTCATAAGCAAAAGTGAGCGGCGTCCGAGGAGAGTGGAGATGCAAGAAGGGTAGCTGGATTCAAAGGTGCGGCCTTCGCCGGCGAGGACGAGCCGGTTGAAGTCAGGATCGGCGGAGAAGACGGTGAGTTCGCCAAAGAGGTGGGTGGTGAAGAGGCGGCAGCCGTAAAGGCGAAGGCGGTCGTCTACGAAGGGTTCGGGGCGGCCGGAACGGTAGGCGGTGATCATGCGAAGGGTTTCCCCGAGAAGAGGAAGGCCGGTGGTTCCTGGCGGGAGGTGGAGGAAGGGGTTTCTGCGGTGGACAAGGAAGAAAAGGATGATGAAGAGGACAGCGAGGAGGAAGACGGAGGAGAGGACGAGTAGAGTGGAAGAAGAAGCCATTGAGAGAGGAGTTGGGTATTTCAGAGCTGAGACAACTCAGAACTCTTGCTCAGTTCTGAAGAATGTTATTTATTTTAAAAACAAAGAATGCTGTCATAAATTTCTCTGCCACCGAATCAATAGAGGAATTTGAATTAAATAAAATTCTTCTCGTATTAAATTTATTCTCATTATTATCAAGTCTTAATTTATTCATGAGCTTGTTTAGTTTTCTATTTCACCCACTTAACAAGTCATTTCTCACGTCTATCATATCATATTGAAGATGAATGAAGCTCCATCTGTCTAGCTTAATTGAGTGATGCTTTTAATGGAGATTAGAGTAATAATCATGAGAGATATTTCAATTGAATTGAATTTTTCTCACATTAAAATTATCCTTATTGTTATCAAGACATATTCTATATTTATAACATTGCTATTTTTTTAGTTCAAAATAATTCTTCTTAGCTATTGCTATATTTTTTACTATTTTGTAAAGTTGCGTAACTTTTTTAACTTATTGCACATTTTTTTAAGCAACGAAAAAATAACGGTTAAATGGAAATCACAGTTGCATTATGGCTTCATCTGGGACGACTTTCTTACTATTTTTTAAAACAGTTTCTTCGTACAAAAATTAAATCAAATTGATCTAATAAATTAAATGTTCTACATGATAAACGAGTTAAGCGGGCCAGGTTTTGGCTAGTCAAGTTCATGTCGAAATTGAAGTAAGCCCGCCAACCCGAATTGACACCCCTAATAAAAAAATATATATGTGAATATATTGTCAAAGAATACTATAAAACATATTTTGAATATGTGGGCACAATTATGAAGAACCATCAATCATATCTTCTGAACCAATGGGTTATGCCATATGTCCTCTAATCTTTTAAAGAAATGATGAGAGTTTAAGGCAAAAAATTTCTAGTTCAAATAATTTTTGTACTAGAAAACTACTTTAAAAAGTAAAAAAAAATGCCTCGATGAAGCATAAGATTAACTGTTTTATTGCTTTCTAAATCAGTTTTTTAACACAACTTTTTATTTCAAAGAAATTTCATACTATAAAACTAATTTATAAAGTAGTAAGAAAGTTATCACAAACGAAACCTCAATCTCCCATAAAACATAAATAGATAGATCATTTTGTGTTCAATCTGCTGAACTGGGTTGCTGACAACCAAGATATATAGGAAGCTTTACAAGTTGAATAAAGCTGGCAATGCACTATGTTTTTATTATATTATCTGATCTCTATATGTCTAAGCAGAATACAGTTTTAATGACAAAATAAATATTATCCATTGTTGATAGCGTGAAGATTTTATACACAGAAATGAAAGATAATCATTTTCTCTTCATTAAATATGGAAATTGAAGCAAAGCTACAGTAGTTACAGAAATCTTTCTCCAAATTTGCAGGAAAGCTACAGAAATGGAGAGAGAAGTCATGCTATCCATTACATTTTGCAAAGAGAAATTTCAGCCATTTGTTAAATGGAAGTCGGGATATTATAATCTTGAGAAAAGAAATTTTGGAGATATGATTCAATATTGGTTGGAAGAATTGATAGAAATCTGTTCAATTTTGTTTGATTCTAAAATATCCTTTCTCTTTCATTGAATGTTGAAGATTATTAAATGGATGTGTTCATGATGTTAACATTGATATTGAATGGAATTTGTTTGGTAATTTTGAGTCACTTTGACCAAATTTTATTTAATGGATAATCACCCAGGAAAATCACCCACTTCCGGCGGCTTTTTTCGGCGGAATTTGACCAATTTCCGGCGGTTTTTTAATTTTCCGGCGGTTTTCCGGCGGCTTTCGTGCCGCCGGAAAAAACGGCGTAGGAAAATAATTTCCGGCGGCAAATAAATCCGGCGGTTTGCCGGCGGTCAAAAACCGCCGAAACCGCCGGAAAGCCGTCGGAAAGCCGCCGGAAAATTTTGTTGGAAATAAGACGTCAAAAACCGCCGGAAAGCCGCCGGAAAATTGACCGCCGGAAAGCCGCCGGAAAATTCCGCCGGTAATAAGTGATTTTCCTTTAGTGGAGAGGTCCCCTTTCATGATAAAGCATTCCACTTGATACGTCACAAAAATTTATTTTGACCGGGCACGAATCTTGAGTCATATTAAATTAGAAACTTTCAAAATTAAATTCGGGATCATCCAAAATTTAATCTTAGCAAACTTATAGTCAAATTGCACGTCTCGACAAGATAAACCCAATGACACTAAAATCGGTCCAATCTGTGTCCAAATGGACTTGAATCAAGGGCTTAAAACATATTTGAAAGCTTCAAAGCATTAATTATATAATGAAATAATTTTCAAATATGACATGCATGTAATCGAATCGAGTGGCTTGATGAAATGAATCCAATGAGCCCAAGATCACTTAATTTTGATATCATTAAGACACTTCAATATTTGATGAAAACTCTATGATTGAAGGAATCAATATGGATCGTATGTTGGAACATTCTAAACTCTAGATCTTCTCCATATTTAAGAAGCATGCTACTCCCAAAAATCTAGGCTCTCATTCTTCACATGAAGAATTGGGAGTAGAGAGGAAAGAGGAAGAAGGAAGGAACATTCTAAACTCTAGAGTGAGAGCTTGCTTGCATTTTTAAGTCATCGCCGTCGTCAACCACGCCCAGTTAATACTGCTCACAACCACCATTGCTACTATCTCTAGAATATTGACAAGATTAATCTTGTTGTTTGGTATATTAATGTCGACGACCACCATTGTCTATTGCCAATGACAATCACCATTGTCACTATCTCTAGAATAGTGACAAGATTTAACAATGATGTTGGGTATATCTGTCCCCCTGTGGACATCGAATTTTTATAATCTCTATAGAAAAAAAATGAAGCTTTGTTATTAGGTGTAGCTATTCCTCTATAGATACTTAATTTTTGCTCTCTTCTTTTATAGTGAAGAAAAGAGGATTTCTGTATAATTTATTATATAATAGATTTTGCAACTGGGCTAGACCCAGTGTTTTATTTTGGATTATTTATTTATTTGTTTAATTTTTAACTTTACATTTACTTACTTTTATCCAATGATGATGATTTCAATTCAAGTTTTTGATGTTTTACATCTAATATTTGAGCTTTTAGGAGTTTATGATTTCTTTTTTATTTTTATTTTTAGAGTTTTATAAAATGATTCAAATACACAACATTCATCATAAGATGAAACTTCACATTTAAAACATCCTAGACATAGTAAGATGTACAACTCACTTATGATGTGAGATTGCACTATACAAATATCTCAAAAGATGATATATTGTTTTTTATAATTTTATTATTTAAAGCTTTTATTTAGAGATCTATAAAAAAATTATTTAAAGTTTTTAGTTTATTATTCTTTATTATTTTGTGAGCTTTAAAAATATTACTTAGTATATTATTTAATTTTGTTAATTTTGAATTATTATTAATTTTTTTTAATTTTAGATTATTTAATTATTATTTTATTAAATTAGGAGTTTGTTATTTTTTTGTTTTTAGATTTAAATGTAATCCAAATATAATGAAATAAATCTTTTAAGTTAGGGACAATCCAAAAATCATTTCATAAAAATTTAGAATAATTTTGATTTTTTAAAATTTTAATTCATTTTAAATTATTTAGAATTTGAAATTATTTGAATGTGATATGCTATTATGTTAGAAAATGAGAATTCAGACTTCAATTCAATGAGTGTGGGTGTATACAATTAAAGTATATATATATATATATATATATATATATATATAGTTGTATATTTAAACTTCTAAATTCTAATATATTTTAAGTATATTTTACACATTAACTTTTTTTTAAAAAACTAGCCGGCTTGCAAGTCAACGAGTCGAATCAAGGCTGACTCAATCTTGCCTCATCCGCTCATCGAGCTCAGCTCATGAATCAAGATGACTTAGTTATATATATATATATATATATATATATATATAGTTGTATATTTAAACTTCTAAATTCTAATATATTTTAAGTATATTTTACACATTAACTTTTTTTTAAAAAACTAGCCGGCTTGCAAGTCAACGAGTCGAATCAAGGCTGACTCAATCTTGCCTCATCCGCTCATCGAGCTCAGCTCATGAATCAAGATGACTTAGTTACACCCCTAACTCGTCGTACCATTACTTTACATGCATATATGCATAAGGATTTCTATAAACAAAGAGTAGGGTAGGAAATTTAAGTATTATTAATCAACCTAACTAATATAAATGGAAGAGGATTCCATCCCAACTGGTCTGATGCCTCTTGTCATTGTCACTTCTATCATGAATGCCATTTTGTAAGCTTAGACGTGTCGTTATCTTTATCTCATGCATTTTAATATGTAATTAGAAGTTGACGGCTATTTTGGATCTTGCTTTGTCAAGCACTAATTAACCCATTTGTGCGCATATAAGCAAAAATTATTTCTATAAAACAATTAGAAAGTTCTGTACTTATCAGAATCAGTTCAGAGGCATTGCATCACTGTTCTTGCTCGAGACTCTTATGGATAGAATCTTGATGGAGAAGATGATTAGGAAAGACAAGAGGAAATTTATTATTTTTGAGCCTTTATATAAGCTATGTCGTCACAGTGACAAAATCAATAGAGTTAGAAAAATGATTATTTATTCAGAATATTCTGATAGATATATATAAGAAGGTGAGTTTAATGAAATATTATTATTATTATATTAATAAATTTTTTAAATGAAATTTAATATTTGTAGTTCTTCCTTGCTTTGAATTCCTTTAGTTTTGCTAGAAAGATTTGCTAAAGAGATTCAGGGCATTGAAAAGTTTGTTGAAAAGTATGAGAATGAATTTTAAGCTTCGTTTGGGATAACTTTCTTACTGCTTTCTAAAATGACTTTTATGTACAAAAAATTTTAATTCAAAAAATTTTTGTACTAAAAAGCTGTTTTAGAAAGCAGCAAAAAAAATTATCCCAAACAAAACCTTAGTATAAGAGTCATTAAGTTTTAATTGTCTTGCTTAAGCTTTTCTTTTTTCTTTCCTTAGATAGGTGTTCTTCAGTAATATG